GGTTGTGCTAGTTATTCAGAGCTTTTTGTATAATTGTGACTCATTCGGATTTTCTGCGTCAAAATCTTGTTTGTCTCACAATCTCTGTTTAGTTGAGAACTAGCCTTTTACATTGGAAAGTGATCTCATTCCTTAGTTTAAACGCACATTCAACAGCTCTGGCAACGCAGAGTTGGTCTAGCAAATAAGCATTCTCTGATCAAACAGCTGCGTCTTTTAGCAACGTGAATACTTCCCGTGTATGATTACTTTATAATAACTCGCTTGAAATTTTTTGCGCAGCTTTAGCAGATGGTTTAAGATTCATGACTAACATCCACTCAAGCTCACCACGTCACTATTTTTCAATACGTATCCAAGTAACTGGAATCGAATTTTGACTTCCAAGATTGTGTGGCGATAGATTACTAAACTGCATGTCTACATCTTCGCCTCCACTCCGATACCCACTTTGCTTATATTATACAACACTCCAATTTGCGCGCACGAATCCTCGCATCACCCACCCGCGGGAAATTCCTAGATCACTCTTGAGTTTTAAAGAGTGATGAGAGTTTTCGTCGCGTGCTTGGATGCGATCGTTTCGTGTCGTGATGTGTGTCGCTTTACAGCAGGAGCCATCCTTACGGTCAAACGACGACGTGATGACTTCGTCGCAAATATCCCGCATGACGACCAGCCACTCCTCGTCAGGTCTGAAGTCGAAGTTGATGAATGCGCTCGGTTTCAATCAGTAATCACTCCGGGTCCGCTCGCCGGTCGCACGGGTTACTGTTTCCTGTCTCGCTTCTGTGCCTGATGTTCATTTTCAAAAGGTACATTATACTCGTGCGCCATTGTTCGTTGTATGTAGTATAGTGTAATTTATGGTGTTGTTGTGTTTTTATTTTTTGGGTTTCTCTATCAAGAGAAGATATGCAACATGCCTTTATCCAGATAACATCAGCTTTCGATTGGAAGCCTGCACATTGCATAGTTATTTGCGTTGTTTTTTCCTTGGAAAATTTTCGGTGATATATAATATGTAGTCTCCGTATCAAACTTTATATAGGGCGTCCTGGCTTGTACGCTAAGCGTCTGCCATGCCTATTTCAAGTAAGTCATTATTCCCTAATAACATTCAGAAAGGAAGAAAACTGTGATAGTATAGATTTTTGTGATTTACACCGCTAATAAATCTCGCTGGTTACTTGTGATC